CATCTTTGCGGAGATGAGTAAGTGATTAGTCTGAAACTACAATGTCTTCACAGAAATCTCATGTATTTTTTTTTTTAAACTGTAGTAGCTCAAGGTGTATCGTTGCGCTCCCTTGTTCACCAGTTTTTCATGGTCCAAAATTGTCAGGCCTTTTTTTCCGGGAAAACATTCCCTCATTATCCCCCACCCCCAAAACAACCAACTCGCGTTATTAATAACCATTCTCTGGACCACAATTAAATATTTAAGAGTATTATAGGGTTAGTTCTAGTGTTGAGGTAGCTGAATGTTACCGTTGCATCTATCGAAGTTTGATTCGTTTGTGGGTGTGAATGCAACGCTACAAAATTAAATAAGAATTATTTGTAAAATTTGTTTTTAAACCAGATATCGGAGGTTCGATGAATAGTCGCGCAGTGATGAGATCCTGCTATCGCGAGTGCCCTGACGCGGTTGCTACTCACCGTGAGGCAGGTCTGGTTGATGCCAATGAATACCGCCCCTTCTGGATCGACTACAAAGGGGGCGTGGTCAGGATCGGTAAAGGAGGACAGGAGGAGGCTTTCTTGGAGTGGGACGCCGGTGCATATCACCAGCGAGTAGTAACTCAAGTACGTATTGGTATCACTTCACGGGCTAGCGCCAACGGAGACTGGGTGTTTTACAAATTCTGCGAGTGAACATGAATTAGGACCGTTAGTAAATTTCTGCTTTGAAGATTCGAAATAATTCATGTAAATGGAATAGACCTGTCGCTGTTTGCGAGTTAGCCACGCCCCTTAGACAAACCTATGGGGAATTTTGTACGTTAAATTTGTTTGTCTCAGATTTTGCGCGTCCCGCGTCCATTTGTATATCATGTAATTGGACAATATTTCACAAGCTGCGTTGACGCGTTCTACCGCGATAGGTTAATTGAGTCATAATCAAAACGCACTGTGAATTGGAAAACTTGAATTAGATTTGGTGTTCTTATTGGTGTGGAACATGTTACCTGTGACGTCCGGAAACCGATAGGCAACCCAAACTTTTAAGCATCGCTTTGTACGTTATGTTTACCACAATAAAAAGTGTATTTCATCACTTTTACACCATTCATATTTTAAGAGATATGCATTGTAGAAGAGAACACTATGCTGAAATTTAGCTGAAAGTTTGCATCACATAACCACATCATCCAATTGTGCAAACAGGTTAAGGTTCTTTCTTTGTTGCATTTTGTGCTGACCTTTGCCCGTAGTAGTTTAGCGGTTATCGCCAACGTATTCCGAGCCATTGCTTTTTGAATAGGTAACATTTGTCATTCTTGTTGTGTGTTTTATTTCTAACTGAATAAACGGGTTTATGGCTTGAACTGGCTCGTGGTACTGCCAATATAGGGCTGAATAGCTCAGTTGGTAAAGCGCCGGAACGGCAATCCAGAGGTCGCAGGTTCAAACCTAGTCTGAGTATCACCCGTTATCCACGGAGCCAAGTCTCCTGTATTTCAAACCCTGCTGCAGGCAGGGTTTCTTTTGTTCAACTTAAAATAAAAATAATAAACTTTATTTTAAATCCAAAGGGGGCTCATAAACAATTATCAGTCAGCGACATTGCATAGCCTTCTCTGCTGTTATTTCACTTTTACTAAAAGCTTTAACATTGTTCCATGTCCCATTGTTTGAATTAAATCCGTAGCCATGACTGCAGGCGATTAAAGATGCATTTTGTTTAAAGCGCAACACATAAAAGAAACTGCCTTCATTTATTTATTTTTAACTTCTCGAAAAAGCTGACATCAGAGAAGAGCATCTTTGGGTTTAATTTCACTTTTTCTGAAATCACGTTTCACATACTAAACTTGATCAGTAAATTACAGGTAAGCCTGTGACTGCTGAAGGTAGGACTATAAGCCTACCCTTCGACCAGGTATGAAGCTAACATTGTCACGGATTATTTTGGCAGAAAATGTGAAGGTAGAAGTACCTGAAAATAAAATAAAATTTCAAATAGCAGGACCACGATTCTGGACATCGTTGTAACCACGAAAACTCTTAAATATAACGACGTAGATAATTCAAAGATGCAGACTTGAACGTAACCATGCAAACGAAAAATACAGAAAAAGCTATTTATTTTAACCGCTGATAGTCGTCCGTTTTCACTCTGATTCTGATCTGGTAGTTCAGTCTTATTCTGCTGACTGACTTCGAGAAATGCGTCCTTTAAGTTTCGCTGTTTTCCTGGAGTGTCGTCTTCTCTTTGCTGGTTGTACAATGAGAGATGTGTAGCGCCATGAACAAGGCTGCCTAGCTTAGTGCAATTAAGTTTGTTGGCAAGTGAAACAAGTTTCTGTCAATAAAATGATCTGTTGTGTTGATTAAATTCTAAATGCAAATTGATAACTTGGCATTTCCGTCAAAGTTTTGTGCTATGTTAAACACGATGTCTAAAATTGGACAACTGAGTGTGATCGCTTAATGGCGGCAGACTGCTTTATCTGCTGTCACCAAGAGGCAGGAGAAGAAAGCGATTATTATAATCCTAATACTCGATAATACAAAGTAACATTTTAACTACATCACCAAATTTGACAAAAGGAGCTAATACAATGTAATGCCAGAAATCACAAAATCCACGACGACAACCGGGCGTAAATTCCGGATATTAGAATGAAAAAAAAGTTAGCGTTCAATTAAAGGATGCTGATATGTGTTTTTGTACTAACTGTATTTCCTACGTATGTATGTCTGGTTTCATCTGCCTTAGAATAACACCCTCTACAAATGTACAATTTATGAAATAAAATTTATTTCATAGTGAAATAGGTAACATTTTAATTTTTTGATGAATGATATTTAGTAGTTCAATTACAGTTGTGAATGGACATTATTAAAAGCGGAATAAAAGGAATGAAATCATATTGTATGCATATACGCTTGTCACTTGTTTATTCAACGTCAACATCCAATTTCATTCAAATTTCAAATTTTAAATCTGTTATTTGTACGCGATTATTTTCCTACATCAAGTGGGCAGTTGTGCCCTTTTCAGAGCGCGCCAAATAAAGGTTTGTTTGCACCACGATAAGGAACGACACAGCACACCGTTCGACTTCTAGGTAAACCACGAACAACATAGTAGGCAAGGTATCTCCTGGCAAGGGCGGATCCAGAACACAATTTTTTTTGGGGGGGGGGGTCCAAAAATCATTTTGGTTCCCCCAACAATGGGTCCCAAAAATTACGGCGAGGGGTTCGGGGCCCGCCTAATTAAGGGCCCCGAATATGTTTTGGATTCTACATGCTCTGTGGTGCAATCTGAGGCAGTTTTTGACCACTTTAACTAAATTATTATGAGGAAAAGATGGTGGTGTACTGCCTGCCTTTATTGCGACGTCACTTAAAACAAAATGGCTTCTTTTTGGGGGGGGGGGGGCATGGCCCCCGTTGGCGCCCCCCCCCCCCCCCCTGGATCCGCCCTTGTCTCTTGTAGTCTGCCGATAGTTGTGTTAAAGGACTCACAGTTACCCATCGGTAGTCGAGGTTCAAGTGACTTATTACCACTCATAAACCACCGGAAGGACTTACACCAGTCGGTCTGTTCTATGCGCACTACTTGCGCTAACTATAGTCCCTTTCGCCACTCAATAATTATACATGCAAACATCACAATTAGTTGCATGTAGCCTGTCGCCATGGCTAGCGTCGGCTGATTTATTTTCAGTTCATTAATACAGTTCAAAATTCACATGTTTACATTCAAATTGTTGTATACATTGTAATAACAAAAACATACGATGGAAGCTCTTTTTCCACGATTGAGGTCTTCGTATATAGCTCACTTTCAATAACGCTGCTGTAACTTAAATTTTAATTAATACTGTATTTTAGATCTATGATTTCGCTCTATAACTGACTTTGCCCAGGGTGAAAAACCAGAGATAAAACTCTATGAGGTAAAACTCTGGAAAACCTTGTGGCCGTATACATTGTGTAATTCTTGAATGCATAACTTACTGGTACGTATACATACTCAAAGTGTCTCATCTTCTTTTAAATGAAATATACCATGTTTATTGGTCGTTATGGAAAAATACCGACCTAGCGCGTGGTGGACGCAGGCTAGAATGGCCATACCACGGCCACACACACGCCCTTTACTCTATAACGTGCTCAATGACATTCTATTCAAATTAACCCTATTCTTCATCCTGTTCACTCAAGCATCAAGCTTGTGAGTAACATACAGACAAATTTTTCCTGCTATACTTCGTACCGAAAATAAACGTCTCTTCTGATGGTATCGATGAGCTACTGTCACAGCTGATTCTGATTAAACATAACTTTTTCAACTATTTTAAGTTTCCACAGCAGGACCATGATTGTCGTTGCACATTGTACAGTTAATCTGTTGTAATCTTAACTTAATCCTCTACACTGGCCAGTAGACTTTTGTTGTTCAGCCTGGGCTTGGTGCTGGAATTTAGTTGGCGTGCTTGAGTGCTTTCCAGTATGCGGTAAATGTGGGTGTTGGCTGATATAAGATGGAGCAAAGTGGGTGTGTGTGAGTATTGCTATACATGCTGTTGTTGGGTTAGCACTGTGTTTTGGAGTGCATGCTGACGTAGCCATTTTTGGCAGCTTGTGCCGTCCCTCGGCCATCAGCATAGAAGTTGCAGTTCTGTGAGGTTCTTGGGTGTGGCTCGGACAAGCATAGGTCAGCGTGACAATTGGACAATCGTAAGTTACATTTCCTTTTGTTTTTTCTCCATTATTGCTTGAATTATTGGTTGAGTATTGGTTGTTGTTGCTTGAACAAGCCTTGAAAAATGTGAATATGTTTTCTTTGGAGAAAATACTGGCATCGAGTTGGTCAATTATTTTAATTATAGATGGTCCTTATATGGATGTACCTGAAGTTGATGTACTTGTGATGTACTACTTGGCCCTACTGAAGTTGATGTACTTGTGATGTACTACTTGGCCCTACTGAAGTTGATGTACTTGTGATGTACTACTTGGCCCTACTGAAGTTGATGTACTTGTGATGTACTACATGGCCCTATTAAATGGTGAATTCTGAGGGTTGGTTCCATGACCGCCGACTTACCACGCCATGTCCCTCTGACTGGATTGGTCCATCTCTGACCTAGACGATGAGAGCGGGATACCTACCGCAGATGTGACAAGCCCTATCAGCAAAACTTCAACAGCATATTGATTTAGAATTGTATAATTTCTTAATAATACTTTTTGCACTTTGATCTTCTGATATATTTACGCACATTTTGAGTGTACCATTTCACTTAGAAATTAATAATTTGATGCAACTAATTGCCTGGATATTAAGAGCATTATTTTGTGCATATACTCTTGTGTATTGCTGCACAGGTGCTGTTGTTTAGATGTATAATTTGTGAATATTGTGTATTGATGTATTGATGTAACCTGTGGTGTCCAGCTACATGTAGCAGTGTTCTCTGACTGACGAGGAATGGATATTGTTGAATTGGTTTAGTTTAATATTTGATTGGTTTAGTTTAATATTTGTGAGAAAACCCCAGGAATTGTCATTAGTGCAGATTTATTGATTGAATTGTTAATAGCGTGGATTTATTGCTAGGCACGTACATGTACATATAGAAACTGGATGCCGATATTGACCGTAGATATTTGATTGTAGATATTGAATTGGAAGTTTGAAGCGGTCAGTTGTATTTGCTGTGATCAACGGAAAGTAGATTGCTAGATATTTTAAACAGTGAATTTTCTTACCTGCTATTTAATTCCATTGCATAAACTGAATTGATACTTTGAGGTGGTTTTATATGTACCTATAAGCTGGCTGTTAATACGATTTCATAACGAAGATTGCCCCTTGACATTTCTGAACGTACGATTTTGATGTTGTGTAAATTTGTCAAATAAATTTGTAAGAGTAATTTGTAAATATAAAGGATATAGTTCATTTGTCTTATTGTGAGAGTCCCGGCAAAAATGTGACAGCTACCAATGGCCCTCTGAATTGAAACGTAATGCGTATGCCTGGCGCTGTGAGCATATAAATATCTGTCTGAAACCATTCCGATCAAGTCGCTAAACAATCCAAACCCAGCATTGAATAATATACAAAATAAACAGCGCAGCAGTAGTAGATATTAGCAGCCGAAGTACATAACACGACTGAAGTCTGTCACTGATGTATTTTCATCTGCATTTCGCCACTGACCGGAACTCGGAATTCCAAGTTGATTGCTTTACGGAAACCCAATTAGCGAAACAGAAGGTCAATTATCCTGGGCATTGTTCGTAAAACCGTGAAACCTCTGTAATATTACGATTGGTTGTGAGTTCAACTCTTACGTTTCGTAGCGGCGGCTTCATAACAAACTGCAGATACTGTTCTGGTAGTTCAGTCTTATTCTGCTGACTGACTTCGAGAAATGCGTCCTTTCAGTATTCTTGCTTTGTTCTTACCATTTGGTTTGGGCGTCATCTTCTCTGTGCTGCCTGTACGAGGAGAGATGTGTAGCGCCTTGATCAAAGCTGCAGCCGGCGATAATCTGACCACGCTCCGTCACAAGACATTCTCGGCGTTCAGAAAAGAATGTCGGCTGAACAAAGACCAATTCGATGAGAGCAACTGTAAGTTAGTGATATTTCCCCAAACACTGTATGATGTCTTTAAGTTGAAGTAGCTTTGCCAAAAACTCATCACAATTGAATAGTTTTTAAAGCCCAGAAAAAAAAGTTTGTTTCATTTGCTATTTGTTGTCATAATAGGATACAGCGTTATGCAAAAAAAGTGAAGTTAGACCCAGGCAAAATGGTACAAACTCAACACTAATTGAACATTTGGTAATAGGCATATTGTCCTATCAGCATACTGTTCGTTGCCATTTTGGCAGCTTTTTTTCGATGACTATATAGGCTTGGCACGTCTTGCTAACCTGTATTTAACGTCAGAAGTGCTATGATAGCGACATGATTGAATGATTTCGTTTTGATTCGGTAAAAAACAGCTTGCTCTTTCTCCACCGTGCCTACACAACAAGAGACGGTCACCTTCAAGTTCATCCTGAAGCCACTCAGTATGCCTTTCCGGTTGGACTTCGCTGTGAAGATCGAGAAGGGTGCCGCACTGGCCCTCGCAGAAAACACCACACATGGGTCCATCTTTGCCGATATAAGTAAGTGATTAGTCTCAAACCATAAAATCTGTACAGAAATCCTCTTTATTTAATTGTAAGTGAGGTAGCTGAAGGTGAATCGTTGTGCCCCCTTCTTTACCAGTTTTTCACGGTCTAAATATAATTTGGGTTTTTTTCTTGTCACATTGCCTCCACCGCCGCCGCCACCAACACCACCACCAGGAGTTGAAGATTTGAGATAATACGACTATACTACTAATAATAATAACCGAAATTGGTATCCTTAGGGAGACTTGTGAACAGAATTGTTACCAACTTTTCTGACCCCTTACCCCAATTTTTCTTTATATCCTAGCCCCACACATTTTGGTACTTTTACTAACTGGGTCAAGAGCACTCAATCTAGCCCATTTGCCTCTAAAAAGGGGCTGATGAGGCATTCAGGAGATTTTGATATGTCTCCCAAATTCCACAAGTCTCGCGATGGTTTTACTTCTGACTTTAAAGTCCCTTCTAAATTATAGTACGATAGTATTAATACAACTATTAATCAATATAATAATAACCAGAGGTATAAGTCGGTTCCATGAAGATAACATTGGGTGTAAATATGACAATGAAATAATTGTATCTATCAGAGGTTTACTCGGTTATGGGCGTAAATGCAACAAATATATACTGAGAAAGTTGAAATAACTTTTTATTTAAATATTTTTTGTTTACCAAACAGATATCGGAGGTTTGAAGAATACTCGCTCAGTGATGAGATGCTCATATGCAGGGTGTTCTGAAGTGTTTTCCCAACACTATGAGGCAGGTTTAGTTAACGCTACTGAATACCGCCCCTTCTGGATCGACTACAAAGGGGGTGTGGTCAGGGTCGGAAAAGGAGGACAGGAGGAGGCTTTCTTGGAGTGGGACGCCGGTGCACATCACCAGCGAGTAGTAACTCAAGTACGTATTGGTATCGCTTCACGTTCTATCGCCAACGGAGACTGGGTGTTTTACAAGTTCTGCGAATGAGATTTAATTAGGACCATTCATAACTTGTTTTACTTGAAGATTTGACATGATTAAAGTAAGTGGAAGTAAGTCACTCCATCTAAGCACACAGGGACTGAAAAGTAGAATTAGATTGGTGTACTTCTTGGTTCAAGTATAGACCGCGTTACCTGTTAGGTCATACCAACGGACAACCGACAGGCAATTCACACATTTGAGCATCTGTTGCAGTTTTTTTTTTTTGCCCACGTTAAACGCATTATGTCACCACTTTTACACCATATCAAGAGATACACATGTATTGTAGAAGAGAATTAACACTCTGCTGATATAGTTGGCAACACATCATGACATCATCCAATTTGTAAACAAAAAGTAACATGGTGTCTATACAATACATTTTTGAAAAGTGTGAACGAATTATGTTTTATCTTGCCTATACCTCACCCTTTTACCTATCTTTCAAAGCTTTCTATGACACATTCACCGTAAAGTGCCTTTAATCTGCTGATGACATTTTTGTTATAACACTTTATCATAATGCGCGAATTGGAAGACGGTTCGTGTTTACAATTTGACTGTGATATGAAGGTCCATTCTTATAATACTAGCATTTGTGTCTAAATATTGCCGAAGTTGTCAAGAGTTACATTTGGGAGATTTATTTTGAGCTTTATGAATAGACAGATTTGTTGTTCATGTTGTGTGGTTTATTTGTAACTGAATGAAATTTTTTATTCGAAGGCCTCAGAGCGAAATTAGATGTGCAAGTGGCGACAACTAAGTTGCTGCTGGCATCTTATTTATTATCGGTCACCCCCCTTTGAGCCTTTTCACATCTCCCGTTAACCCTATCAGGTCCGGGGGGCACAATGTGCCCCCCTCCCATATTTTTGCTCATAACTTTTTAACAGTGCAGCCGATCGCCACCAAATTTGGTGACTTTTCATAAATATTATCTAGGGTCCTAATAAAAAAAATCAAGGGGTGGTTCGTTGTTGCCATAGCAACCGTTTGTTTTTACATTGGTTCCCAGTTTTTCACGTAATATTAATTAATAAAGTAAATGTTTAAATATTAATTTCTACACTGTAAAACTAATTGTCTTATTATTATTAGTTTATTTATCAGATAGGTGATTGAGAAGTGTCACGTGACAATCTACAATGCATTATGGGAATTCAAAATGGCCGCCAAAGCCGGCGGCCATTTTGTTTTGTTTTTTCAAATAGGGGAACTTGGTGAAATTCAACTGTGCATTAAGATTTTTTTTTGCATTGGCTTGGGCGTCGCCGGGATTTTTTCTAGAGGGGGGCAAAAAAAAAATGTTGCCAAAAAATGCTTGTATTTCTTTTAGAGGGGGGCAGGGACATTTCCCCCCCCCCCCCAACTCATTAAATTTACACCACTTTGTCTTCGCGCCTCTTTTTTTTTTTTTTTTTTTTTCTTCTTTTTTGGCTTTTCCTGGGGAGGGGGCAATTGCCCCCCTTGGCCCCCCCTCGCGACGCCCATGTGCATTGGCCCGAGATTCAACATGCTATCTTTGTATTTGTTATGTCAATAATCGATAAGGCCGCCAAAGTGGCGGCCATATTGGATTTTCGCTGTCATTGAAACTTTTTGAAATTATATTTGTTTTTAAAAACATATTGTAATTGTTGTCATTGTGTCAAGGCAAACATGTTTCCCAAATTTTATGACATTTGGCCAAAGAAAACGGAAAAATACGGGGAAAAAAAACAATTTTTGATCCAAAATGGGCAAAAATGTCCCCAAAAACGCCCTCTATGGACGATTTTTCTTTTTAAATGTCAACCTGTAGGATTAGGTCAAAGGTTAATTTCTACCAAGTTTTAAAAAAATCGGTCATTTACTTTTGAAAATATAGAGGGAGGCACTATGTCCCCCCCGGTCCCCGTAGGTCCAAAAAAATCCCGGTCCTGATAGGGTTAATGATACGCCTATGTTGATTAAACGTTTATATTTCGATGAACTGTATGCATATTAATAATTTTAATGGTTTGTTTAAGAATTGAATGGCTAATAACGTTAAAGATACAATTCGCAACGTAATTACTGAATAATAAGTTGATACAGCTCTTTTTGACATGGTGATGTAAGACATGATGGTATATATATGGTATATTTTATTCACATTATCACATTGTAACCCGAAGGTCAAATTGCATGATAATTTACAATATTAAAAACATCAAAATCACAGTAAACATGAATTAAACAAATTAAGAAAAACCCATATAGGTTTGTTGAGAATCTAGAAAAATAAAATTAGTACATTGCACATACCTGTAGATTTGTCTGCCTCAAATCTTTGAAAAAAAAATTAAATTAAATTAAATTAAATTAAAAAGCTGCTACTTATTTAGATAACTGGTAAAAGTTAACACGGGCTGTTTTGTTATTTCAAATAGCGAGTAATAATCTTGTGCAGATTTGTGGTGGCTCCAGTAATAAAAGGATTATTAAAAAGCTGTTCACAGAGCAAAATATTCTACTTGTTCAGCAAGCTGATGAAATAGGGTATTGGGCTGTTTTTGAATCGTGATGTCCTGGTGCATAAGTGGGAACAATGATGTGCATTACGCAGGTTGCGGGCGTGAGACTCCCGTCTGGTAGGAGGGAGAAGATCATTTGTACGTTCTGAATTGGCAAATCCTTCGGCAAAGCTGAGACAATGATTCTCCCTCCTATCAGCAAGAGACTCAAGCCCGCAGAACTGCATTGCATCCGCATATGAGGTGTAGCGCTGTGCCACTTGAAATGGTTCAGCATGCACGTTTTTGCAGGTGCTCCAGAGTCTTCTTCTGGGCAGCAGTAATTGAGGAAGACCAAGTAACATCAGCATACTACAAAACCCTCCCCTATCTTTGCAAAGCAGTCAGTCAAAGAAACTGGCCTGAGTTTATCAGCCGTGGGGGGCTTCGTTTTCGGTATTGGCACTACTATGGCCTTTTTCCATTGCTTAGGCACCACGCCCTCTTTGTACGAGCAATTCAACACATCAGTTAAAGGTGAACTCAACTCAAAGGCAAATTCTTTAACAAGCTTGGGAGAAATTCCATCGGGACCAGTTGCTTTGTTGGATTTGACTTTTTTGAGCTCAGTGTACACTTCCCAAGGATAGAGTGATGGTGGAGGCTCCATGGCTGGTAAGTAGGCCTCCCAAGAACATGAGCGCAAGTGATAACTGTAAATTATATGCGTTTCTTGACAACTATATAATGTATGAAAAATATGTCTTGTCGCAAATCATCTTGATATACTGTTTTGAAAATATAGTTTTTTAACGTTAGTTATGATCCGTAGAGCGAAATTGGATGTGAAGATGATGACAACTATAATGTTCTCTTGCTGTTGGCATCTTATTTATTATCAGTCACCACCTTAAAGTCGTGGCCAAGTCGGGTATCGTCACACGACGTGAAGTCCTGGCCAAGTTGGATGCGGCATAGGACTGGACGGAGAAGCACCAGCATCGTCAAGTTCGACCATAGTTATAGGAGCGTCGCCGGAAGACGTGGATGAGCACCCCTCAGACAGTTATTAATTCGTAGTGATGTATACGTTTATGTATTGTTATTATCTCATATGAACAGTTATTATTTAGAATTTCTTTGATTTATGCAAATCTGATGTCTCTGTGAATTTATTGTGCGTCTTGAGTACCATAGTTATTATCGAATCGGCCGGGTTTACCCGTAAATTTGAATAGGTAGACCTGCGACACATAGAAGACAGACTCTAAGGTACTCCGGTGATAACAGACATCTGAAGAAATTAAAGCCCTTAACGAGTAAACTCCGCACAAACCATTTCCGGCCAAAGATGCGCTTTAGAACAGAAGTCCCTATTAGAATTCCTACAACGGAGAGATATGACATTCCTGTTATGAGCGATATCAATCGCAGTGTCTATGAAGCCTGTAAACTGCTGAAAAACATCGATGTGAACAAATCACAGGGGCCCGATGGCATTGCTCCTAAAATTCTGAAAGAAGGCGCTGAGCCACTCGCCCAATCTCTCTGCACGTTATTTAATCTGTCCTTATCCACAGGCGAAGTTCCCGAAGACTGGCGTAAAGCAAATGTCTGTCCAGTCTTTAAAAAGGGTAAAAAAGATGACCCTTCTAACTACAGACCTATTTCCCTTACATCAGTCACAAGCAAATTACTGGAAAGAGTCGTCTCCAATCACCTCACCAAGCATTTGAATGACAAAAACCTCCTCAATGATAATCAACATGGCTTTAGAAAGAAACGCTCCTGTGAGACTCAACTACTTGACGCAATCCATGATTGGAGTAGCACCTTAGAATCTGGCTCCAGCGTTCACATTGCTTTTTTGGATTTTTCCAAGGCCTTCGATACCGTATCACACATTCTCCTTCGTGAGAAACTAAAAAGTTTGTGTCTTGGTGATCGTAACCTGAATTGGATTATGAATTTTCTTAAAGCTAGAACGCAGAGAGTCTTTCTTAATGGTGAATTTTCCAAATGGAGTGTCGTCAAATCAGGTGTCCCCCAAGGGACAATCCTTGGTCCTATTCTTTTTAATTGTTTTATTAACGACATAACTAAGGATGTGCAATCTACTATTAGATTATATGCAGATGACTGCATTGTTTATCGGTCAATTAAGTCTCTAGAAGATTGTAATGTTCTCCAGTATGATTTAAAAGTCTTAGGCGATTGGTCTAAAAAGTGGTTGCTTGATTTCAACATCACCAAGTGCAAAATTATGAAGATGTCGAAAAAATGCAATTCCACTGATTACGTTTACTTTCTACAGGGCCAAAAATTGCAGGAGAAAGATCGTGAAAAATACCTGGGAGTGATGATAAACAAGCAATTAAACTGGAACGACCAGTGTAATGAAGTATGCAATAAGTGCAATAAACTGCCAAATAAAACCACGGCTCTACGAATTACTAATCCGATCTCATCATGACTTTTGTAGCGTGGCTTGGGACCCTTATAGGAGTTCCCACTGTGCCACGCTTGAACGCGTTCAAAAACGTTGTGCCAGAATGGTTTGCAGGGACTGGGAATCTGGATACAATGTCTTACTACAACAGTTATTAGGATGGACGTCACTAGAAAACAGACGAAAGTACTTGAGATTTGTAATGGCCTATAAAATAATGAACAACCTTATTGATGCAGATAGCCTTTGTAAATTCAGTCCCCCTAACAGAATTTCCCGAAATGACCATGCTTTGAAAGTCCAGGTTCCCTTCGCTAAAAATGACTATTTTATGAATTCATATTTTGTTCGCACTGCCAATAATTGGAATGCTACTCCATCCAGGTGATATCGCTCAAAGCGCCTCCTTAAGTATTTGTTAAGTCTTCACTGATGGATTTTCTTTTAATTTAGCCCCAG